TGAATAAAAAAACCCATGGCCCCCGTTTAACCCTAAACCCTAAACCTTAAATCCCTAAACCCTAAACCCCTAAATCCCTAAACCCTAAACCCCTAAATCCGTAAATCCTAAACCCCTAAGTCCCTAAACCCTGAACCCCTAAACCCTAAACCCCTCGCGGGTGCTCTGAGCGCAGTCGGCCCTTTGCTCCGCAGCAGGGCGACTTCAGGATGCAGCGTTTGGGATAATGGGGGCTTCCAAGGGGTATAGTCCCCCTTAAGTAGATGGAATATGGGGTATATGGGGATCTTGTTATAATCTACCCAAAGCCATATTCTATCTACTTAAGGGGGACTATACCTATAACAAGTAGGGGCTAGCTATTATCTTTTTTGGGCGCGGGGACTACAGTTTTTTTCGGGGTCTATATGGAGCCTCCCCATCTACGGAAACCCCGTGTGTGGGATTGAGGCGCGGGACTTGAGGTTGTTGCAGAATAGGGTTGCTGCAGTGCACCTAAAGAGTAGATTAAACAATGGCCCAACACCTATGAACAATCCCAGGGCCATGATTTTTCGTAGTTGGGACCCTAAATCCTAAAACCTCAACCCTAAACCTTTTTGGTAGATCCTAAACCACGGGCACTTCACCTGAGGGGCGTCCAGGGATCCCCCATGGCTTGCAGTTCGGGTTGAGCGGGGCTGGATGAGAAAAAGGGCTACGAAGCCGTTAGCGTGGGGATCCATTCCTCCATTCCCTACAAACAACCAGTAAGCTAAAAGCAACTTCTACATGGATTCTGTAAGAATGTCAGTTAACATCCATGATGTAGCTGTGACCTCCAAAACCCTCAACCATCAATCGCCCAAACCCAATCCCTGAACCGCAACTTATAACTTGAAACTTTGAAAGCGTGATTATACCATTGGAATAATGACAGCCAGCATAAAACACACTTCCCACCCAACAAGCATTTCCCTGAAGCCTGAGGTGTCCCTCATCTTACTATCAGTCAATGGGGTGTTTGGGAGTGGATCCCTCTCATGGTCCTCTGCAATATAGCTCTCAATAATACTATTCTTCATACTAGTAACGATACTATTCATATGGTTTATACTAATGACAGCAATACTAAGAATGATTGCATACCTGAAATCATTCCGTGGCATTCTTCCCAAGCCGCTCGAATACGCCCACAAGAGTGCCCAGAGCCGGCCTAGACGTGGCAGAATGTCAATTTGAGTGGGAGCAGAGGAATCGTTGGTAGTTTGAAGTTGCACCGTTTTAGCCATAAGTGTCAGTACTGTCTTACCGGTATTGGTGAAGACGTTGGCCCGAGCGGCGGCTAGGAGCAGTCAGCGGGAGGAGCAGAACTCATGCAGCTGCAAGGAACAGGTCAACAGATTTTAGGTTCAACGCCATATGAGCTATAATTTTAACTCCTAGTATCCCCCTTAATGACCTCTCTAATGCTCCGCTACATAACCCCCTTGAAGGACTTTTGACTATACCCAATACGGTGGATTGGGAGGACCTGTGAAGATGCACGGCTACCTCGCTCAAGGTGAAAACCTGTGAACCTCTTAAAGTCAACAGTTAGCGTTTACGGTTTAGGGTTTAGGTTTAGGGTTTAGCGCTCGCAATACAATAACCTCCCCAAACAAACCTGGAACTGAGCAGACCTGGAACTGAGCAGCGTCTGTTTAAAGAAGGGCAATGGTCTTCACGGGCCCCCGTCAGGGCTCGAAAGCAATTTGGTTGAGTGTATGCTCTTTCTGGAAAGTCTCACAGAAGGCATTGCCCGCACACATTTGTTGTTTTGCAAGTCCCCTGGGTTTAGGGTTTAGGAAAAAACTCCTAGTATCCCCTTAAATAACCCCTATAACAGTCCCCCAGATAATCCCCTATATAACCCCTTTCAGGAGTTTAGGCTATAGCTCACATGTTCCTTCTGATCAGGAGCCTCAAGTCTACGCACTGGAGCCAATTCTGGAAGTTTGTCCGAACAATGCCTATACAATGCCCGATTGGGACCTCACAGGGCCCCCTAGGAGAAGAACCCCTTTGCTTCAGAAACCTCTAAAGCCAACCCCCTAAACCCTAAACCCTGAACCCTGGTTTTTATGGCAAGGTGCAGAATGTTGATGAGCGGATTTTGTAGCACTGTGCACAGGACCTGGGAGTTGTAGCAAGCACATGCTTCGGGTCGAGGGTTGCAGGTGAAGGGCTGGGAGCTTAGGGTCTACCTGAACCCCAAAAGTATGTAGAATAATGGCCTTTTGGGCTATACTTAAGGGTTTTGGGCTATGATTTTACCTACTTTTGGGGTCCAGGTAGGAGGACTTCGGCGATGTAGGTTCGAGTTGATAGGGGGGCTCTACTGACCCTGACCTCCCACAATGCCTTTGGCGTTTCGTGTTGGCAGAATGCGGTTTAGGGTTTAGGGTTTAGGGGAACTTCATGCAGGTATGCAAGGATCTTGCCAAAGCAGCCAGCGCTGGATAAAGCATGACAGAACTTGCCGATTCTTCGAACATAACCCCAATAGCAAGATGACAGACAGGCACTCTGTTCTCTGATTTTCCTGCTGCCTGTGTAAGGACCACCAAAAACAAGACAGATCCGTTTCAAACCGTAGTTGACTCGTGTGCAAGCGTTGCCGGGTAGATATAAGTTTCTGTACCCCGGGTTGCTACCCAACAGTTTGGGTGAAGAGATTGGAAGCTGTTAGCCAGATCTCAAGTATACACAGGAAAACAATGCCAACTCTATGGTATTGGTCTAGGTATCACACCAAACTGTAATGTCATCTCAACTAGAAACTTTAGCGGACTCTGGGGTAGTACCTTCATAACTTGGATAGTTGGCAACCACGCTGACACTAGAAAGTCCCAAAAGTCCTGAACTACTGGGTTGGCCCCTAAAACCCTTTGAAAAGTATTAGTATATAGGGTCCCTTATTGAAGCCAGTAGGGAAAATGTTAAATATCCCAGGGGCCTACCCAGACTAGCTGAACTCCGAAACCTAGCATCCGCCACAGTGAGACCCGAAGCTGTAACCTCTAAATGATCCGAAGCACGGGGAAGGACTCCTTCGCATTGCTCTCAACACCGATCCTGGGATGTAAAGGATGCGGCAGCTTACCTCTAGTGTACCTTTCATGGTTTAGGATGTAGGGTCTAGGATATGGAAGCCAAGATCAGGACCCCGGGGTCGGTGCCAAAGTCCTTGAAGGAAATCTCCACGCAGTTTTCGGGCTTCGGCTAGAGACGATTCTCTAGGCTCTGTTCAAGGGGACATGAGATTATGAAGGCTTAAGGGAACCCATGACGAAGCCGTGACAAAACATCTTGTGGCATTGCGGATATTGGAATATGCCCGCTTGAGCGGCATTCTTCGGTATAAGTGATACTGACAACGATCCAGGTGGGCCTTCATAGATTGAGGTTTCGACCGACGAGCCTAAACCTTCTTAGATTACACCCTGGGGTTTGCCAATGTACTAAAGGCCTGGCAGTTATGTGCACCAGCAACTAGTACGTATTGTTTTCCTACACCCTTACTAAAGCCCTTACCCCTGAACTCTTAATCCCCAAAATCTTTTAAAAGCAGCCCCCAAAGCCCTGTTGCCGAGCTTCTTGTTGTGAAGGGCATCCAGGGTCACTGCCCTTGGTGGCCCAGATTTGGAAGTTGAGACTAACGTCTTTTGGATTTTCGGTGTTGTGTAAGGTGTGGGGGTGCAAGGTGCCGGGGGCTTCTCAACATAAGGGGCCCTTGGTGACCCTAGGGAGCTAATGGGAGTATAAGGGAGTTCAATTCTTCCCACCAGGGATGCTAATAGTGGGAGTGTTGAAGCTCCATTAGTACATGGGTGGTTGTCAAAATTATGGTCCCTTTTTAGGTCCCCATTCTAATACGGCACCTAATATTTAGGGTACCCAAAAAGGGACCATCATTTTGACAACCACCCACATAGTTGACCATGGAAAGGCTTCTGAAAACCATGGGGGCCTTTTGGCAAGGATGCGCTATTAGGATCCTCTTGCGCGTTTGGTATATACACATGGTCCTCATGTGAGCTATAGTCTAAACTCCTGGTATCCTGGGTTGGCCCCTAAAACCCTTTGAAAAATAGTAGTATATAGGGTCCCGTATTAAAGCCATTCGGGAAAATATTAAATATCCCAGGGGCCTACCCAATATCCCCCTCAATAAGCCCTATAATACCCCCGGAAGTTCCCTGAGCAACCCCTGAGCTCGCACTTGGCATGTCTGCATCTGCGTCTGCAGGCACCGAAGATATCGTGGTTTCCCAAAATTAGGGGTACCTTTTTAGGGGGTCCTAATAGTAAGGATTATAACATGTTGGGCTCTATATTGGGGTCCCCCTATTTGGGGAAACTACCATATTCGAGTGCTGTATAGAGAGCTAAGTTGCAGTTCACACGCCAACGGCACCCAAAAACACAACATGCAAAGGGTACAGTACCTACTGGTGCAACCCCTAAGTCAATACCCCTATTTAGGGTTTAGGGTTTAGACCACTTGTCAAGGGGATCCAATGCCTGGTCGCAGAGGCTTGAGAACTTGCAGGCGTCGTTGTTTAGGTGTGCAAGCTTTGAATGACTCAAAGTTCCAGCTACTTGACAAGGAGCCTGCGGCCTTATCCAGGCTTGAGGGACACAGAACCTGAACCTTAATTGAAGTTTCGCAAGGGTTTCATAGATACAGTAAACAGTCAGATTGGGAAGTGTCACATGTAACCCCTGCGTGGAAAGGGGCGACTTGCAAATCAGGGTTTGGTCTCCGCGCAGTACTCAACCCTGATGCTAAGTTATACAAAAAGCCGAATGCTGAGCATGGCACGTTGCTAACCAACTCATTGCGGTAGCCAAAAGGGCTGTTCTTCAAAATTATGGACCCCCTTGGGTTATAGATTATAATACGGCACCTAATATTAAGGGGTACCAAAATGGAACCTTAATTTGGGAACTCCCCAAAAGGCCACTTCTCTGCTCTCACAGCTTTTTAAACTCCACACCCAGCCTTTTCTTCAAGCAGTTTTGAGCTTCGGATTTTCCACTTTCCGTGCAACCCTACAGACCCCATAATGGTAGCTTGCATTTTCTTTTCCATTATCCCTACATTGCCCGCCCATAACCCCTGTAGCTTCCTGAATCTAGGGCCCGGGATGTGTCCTTCTATTTAAGGTAGTTGTGTGGCCCTGCATGGCATCTTAAGGGTTTCAGAATTTGCCAAGAAGTTGGCCTTGTGGACTGCCGACTACACAAAGCTCACACCCAAAAAGGCGCAGCACCCAACACGGTGAATGCAATCAACCCCCAAAAGCCGCAAAGCCATCTTTTCCATTTGACTGTGCATTATTGGTAAAACCTACACTCTAAGTGAGATGGTAGTTTCCATTTCTTTTCTGTTCCTTACATAAACTGAGTTGCTCTTGAGAATGTTTTTTGAGTTACCATATCGGGGAATACGGTTTATTATATATACCCATTATGGTAACTTAGTTTAAGTTCCTTAACAGCAACCCAGAAGCGCATCCCGGAGTCAGAAACCCTAAGCCCTAAACCCCGAACCCTATAGAATTCATTGTAGCTTCCTTGTTCTTCTCCATCATCCCTACATAACCCTGTATTACCCTATAATCCCTGTAGTTTCCACGTTCTCTTCCATTATCCCTACAGAACCCTATTTTGCCCTATAATCCCTGTAGTTTCCATTTTCTTCTCCATCATTCCTACATAACCCCCATAGTTCCCTATAATCCCTATAATCCCTATTTTCCATTATCCCTGCCCTATAATCCCCTATTATCCCTGTAGTTTCCATGTTCGTTTCCATTATCCCTGCTCTATAACCCCCTAGAATTTCTGTAGTTTCCATTTTCTTTTCCCTAAACCCTAAACCCTAAACTTGTAGTTTCCATTTTCTTTTCCATTATCCCTGATCCCCAAACCTCAAACCCAAAGCAGGCGCCAAGGCACGATCGGAAAGCCCAGAGCTGAGGCATCTCCGCCTGCAGCTCTGGGAAGAGTCTATAGAGTTATACGTTAGGGTTTAGGGTTTAGGGTTTAGGGCTTCTTTTTTTTTGGGGGGGGAAGGGGGGGGGGGAGGGGAAGGGGGAGGGGGTTGAGGGTTTTGGGGTTTTATGTTTTTGGTTTGAGGGCTTAGGGTCTTAGGATGTTAGGGTTGAGCGCTTCCACTTCAGGCAGGCGAGCCCCCCCTCCCCCACCAAGCTATACAGACAATGTGCCCTAGAAATTGAAGGCTACCAGACGCGATATCTACTTTATGGGACCAGGGGAAAGTTGATTCTAATTAGTGGGAAGGGATTGCGTCAAGTAGCATTCCCTGAGTCCCTCGACGATGATCCAAAAGAGCATGCTTTACAGCTTTGCCACCTGTCCCCTGCAAGAACGTTCTAGTTTCGTGATATGAACTTTCTTTCGAATTCCAAAAATAGGGGACTGCTCGCGACCTTAGGGATACAAAGGGGGAATAGAGAAGATGATGGGCCCTTCGGGGCTTTTATAAGGATATTTTGAGAATCGTCTATTTCAGGGCATGGGGCTAGGATGGGGCTGGTGGTATGTCATCATCTTTGAAGATTTCTTGGCTAAATGAGATGAGGGTCTAGAATTTCTGGGTTGCTGTTAAGGAACATAAATTAAGTTACTACGTTGGGGAAACCCTATTATTTACTATATATTCCCATTATGGTAACTTAATTTAAGTTCCTTAACAGCAACCCAGATTTAGGTACCGGGCTACAGGTGTTATGGCATGGCAGCTGTAGATGAAAGTTTACTGCGGTAAAAGGGGGGATAGAACATTGGAAAGACCGTTAGAAGAGGTGAAGAATTGGAATCTCAAGCAGTCTTGTTGAACAGCTGCAGGGGAGAAAGGAGTGGATCCCTTCCATCCCTACATGATCCATAGTCTAAACTCCTAGTATCCCCCCCTTAATAATAACCCCTATAGTAGTCCCGTATACAAATAATCCCCTACATGAGCCCTTTGAAGGAGTTTAGATTATGGCTCACATAGGCCCTCATCCCTAAACCCTAAACCCTAAACCGCGTTCATACTTCTACCACAAGAGCCGTGCAACAAGGCCTCTCGCTTGGCGCTTGGGAAGTCTCGCACCTTGGCGCAAGGGATATGGGTTTAGGGTTTAGGGTTTAGGGATATGGGTTTAGGGTTTAGGGTTTAGGGTTTGGGGTTTAGGGTTTAGGGTTTAGGTATATGGGTTTAGGGATATGGGTTTAGGGTTTGGGGTTTAGAGGTCTCTTGAAATTTGGGGTTATATTGGGATAATGGAAAAGAAAATTGAAGCTAATGCAAGATCCTCCCAATTCAGGGTCCCGCTAGAGATCCCGGGCATTAATCAGGAGGGTCAGGCAAGTGCAGGGCTCCATAGTTTGAACATCTCATTTTTCATATCGTACCCTGAGCTATGCAGATCACGCCGCTTTGGTGCTCACTTAACTGTAGAAGCCTCTGCCAAACATGAGCTATAGTCTAAACTCCTAGTATGTCCCTTAATAACCCCTATAGCAATCCCCTATATAATCCCCTACATAGTCCCCTTTAAGGAGTTTAGACTATAGTACACATGGAAGCCCTGCAGTGCAAATACGGTCTAATGTTTGCGGCTTGTCCTGGCTAAGTTTGATAGTTTCAGGTGAGTAGTGTTTTTTTTGGTGGTTGAACCTAGTAAGATTATATCCTTTATATGAAATACTATACCCCAAAAGGAGGATATGATCTTACTCTATATTGGGTACCATAGTATCCCCAAATAAAATACTACTCACATGAGCATTGGGGTTCCTGTTCCGGTATACGTTTTTAGTGTGTAGGCGGGCAAAAATTGGAAGACGCCTTTTTTTCTTCTGCAGGTCCAGCGGGATGATTGCGATCTCTTAACTGGGTTGGCCCCTAAAGCCCTTTGAAAAATATTGGTATATAGGGTCCCTTATTAAAGCCATTAGGGAAAATCTTAAATATTTCAGGGGCCTACCCAGTTACTGTGCGTTTTCGGGTGAAGGTTTTAGTTTTCCTGCAGCCTCTGTCTTGCTGGATGGAAGGCGGTCAGGCTACATGCTGTACTGCATCCACAAATTGAACGGCTCCAGAGCGTTTGCCTTTTCGAAAATTCAACTTTGTAAGCTTTTCCTCCGAATTCTGGTAGACTCTTGCACTAAGACGCATTTTGGCAAGAGTCTAGAGTCAGTACTTTTGCAGACTTGCAACAAAACCAAGCATCTGGGAATTTCCCTACGGACCAAGACATGTCTGTGCTTCAACCGCACAAATTGAGCCTTTGCTTCCCGAAACCTGCAGCCTAAAGTCCCCGCTCAAGCCTGAGAGTCAAGATCCCAACCTTCGAAACTTCGAGCTCCTGACGCTCTTAACTGGTTCTTTTTGAAGTAACCTATAGCTTTGTAATCATCAATGGGTTAGAATACAACTAGTGCCTAACGACCGTTTTCGACCATGACCCAGTACTTGTCGAAGCCCTCCCTTAAGCTCCCGAAAGTTGAAACCCAAGGCGGCATGGACCCAAGGCTTATCTGAAATATGAGGTTTTCAAGACTAGGGGATGCTTATGTACCCCTGAATGTATCATACCTGAACCCTAAACCCTAAACCCTAGAAACCACAACCCCTTTTGTAGGAATTCCCGTTGAGGACGTGGAATGGGGCCCAGACGTCTGCGGCTTCCTTGAGCTCTGCAACGAACTTTCCTAAGATGAAACGCTCAACTAGTCTGCGGTTTGGGGTCTACGGTTGAGGGTCTAGGGTTTAAGAGTAATACTGCTGATGCTAAGTCCTGCCATGACCTTCATATTCTCTCACAGAAAACAGATAAAGCCATGCAAGATTCTTAGCATCAACCGCAGGAGCCCATTTTCATAGGTGGGTACTTTATTAGTAAAAGTTCACATTGGCCTTCCATGCTACTGCTATCAACCATGGGGCCTTCTGGGAGTTTTTATGGAGATTACTATGGAAACTACGCACCTCGGCAAACGAACGTGGAAGCCGAAAGAGGTACTATGAAGACTGCTGTCCTTTGAAGAATGTGCTATATGACTATATGAAGGTTCCCTCTTAGTTTGGGGAGAGGGTACCCTAAGCTTACTTTGGGGAGAGGGTACCCTGAGCTCCCTAAACCTGAATCCTTGACCCTAAACTTTTAACCCTAGACCCATTCCAAAATTGTCAAACTCCCCTGCAACCCATCGCACCCAGCGCAAGCAAGGTTGCCTTTTGCCATCGCTTCGGCGACATCTCAGCCGTCAGCTTTCAATTCTCATTTAGGGTTTAGGGTTTACTTAACCGTCTGGAACACGGCTGCTTTGTGACCTCGTTGTACACAAGCCAATGTTCGGGTGAGGTCAGGTAAAGTCGTCATAGCTGGCTTTGCTTTGACTGTAGAAACTAGATGCACTTCTTCGCTGACATGCCCATTCAATACTGTTGATGGATGAAATCTTACAGTACTTCAAGTCCCTAAAGTCCTCGGAATGACTGTAATTTAGAGCCCCTAGGTGGTGTAAGATTTCCTTCATCACCAGTAGCAGTGATCTGAGTTGAACTTTTCTTGCCATGCCATTCCGTCTCAACATAGATAGGATGGCTAAGGAAACAGACCCGACTCAGCACTGGAGATGTTCATTTTCCACAAGCCCAAGCCCACATCAGCTATAGTCTGAGTCTGAAGTCTTAGCATCCCCCTTCATAACCCCGGTAGTGTTTCCCTATATGATCCCCCCATGTAAACCCCCTCTAAGAGGTTTAGATTATACCTCATAGGTATCCTTCGATGATGGCAAGGACCTGTCAGGCTACTGTGTAACAAAACAGCCAGCTCCCAAGGTTGGGGGCTTGGGGCTTGGGGTTCGGAGTTTAGGATTTGGGGTTTGCGGTTTAGGGTTCAGGCTGGGCTCGTAATGATGCTGCCCACACCCTAGCGCCTGCCGATGAAGAAGCCATTCACAAACCTTTTTGAGTACTGGCGGTGCAAAGTGGGGCTAAACCCAAAGCGGTGTAGGGTTTAGGGCTTAGGGATCAGGGTTTAGGGTTAAGGGTGTAGGATTTAGAGTTTAGGCCCTAAACCTTAAACCCCGGGCAGTGTGAAATCCTATGAACCTGCTTCTGAACTGGCAAGCTCTTTCCGGGTCTGAGTTCATAGCACTCGTAGGCAGTTTCATCCTAGATCTTCGAAAGTATCCAACGTCAAAGGTCTCCAGGCTCGATTTCTTGGATGTAGGATTTAGGGTTTAGGGTTTAGGGTTGGATGTAGGACTTAGGGTCTACTGCTTAGCGGGTTTTAAAAAACCACCAAAAGATCTTTGAAACCCCACCATCTAGCTTGCCCCCCTTTCACAGTTGCCTTCAAGGCACCCTCAGCCCTCCAAACGCTGAACCCGAAGGCCCAAAACCACAAATCCTGAGCCGTAAGCTCCAACAAGTTGCTGAGAGCACCACCGCTGGCTTCGTCATGCTCATTTGTGACCTGCATGCGCTGCTATGCACAACACGCGCAATTGATTTCACGATTGCGAGGATGATGATGATGATGATGTTGATTAGACGTGTTTAGGCAGGCTTTAAACCTGATACTACTTACTCAGAAACAGTAACCACACCAACAGTACTGCAAAGCAAACATGCTGTCTGCAGCGATGATGAGCACAGCAGTCATTGCAATCATGCTGCTAGCTGGCGTGGGGAGTGACTAAGGGCTTGAATTAAGCTACTATATGGGTATATTGGGGTTATATGGGGATAATGGAAAGAAAAATGGAACCTACTGTAATGGGGTATAACCCCCAATCTTCTGCACTTGCCTTCCCAGCCACAGCTATGAAAGTACTCTCAGGTATAAAGGGTATTAAACACCTAGTATTCTGCTTTTGAAGCTAAGGGTGTTAGTACACTTGTTGCCGGACAAGGTTTGGAATTTAGCCAGGAGTTCTTTGATATGAGCAGCTCTCGCCGCCGCAGTCATCAGTTTGGCATCTCTTCTGCACTTCCTTGAGCGAGTTTTCACCACCAAAGATGGAATGCTAGGCAAGGAAGCCCTGTTTTTCTATAGATCCCCCTACTACCCTTCCCTTCCCCAACAAGGCCTAAACGATCCTGTAGCAGGCTTGAGTAAAGCGCGGCATAGTTTAGGAACCCATACGGCACGGGGGTAGGTTTGGTGGATCCATGATTTTGTTGCTTTCAGCGACTATATCGGGATTAGGGATAAGAAATAAAGTTGTTTTCAAACCTTGAGTACTGCCTGAACCCTAAACCCTGTTCAATCTGCGCCTCAATAGCGTATTGGATCGTCATGGAGTTCGAGCCTAGCGATAGCAGACCGCAAATGAAGTACTTTGGGGTTTCCCAAAATTAAGGGGTCTATAGGGCTTGTGTAGAAATATAGGAACTATGTGAGGAGATGTAACTCCAATAGTGGAAGTCGAATGGACAAGAACATGACAAATGACATGGAGGCTGAGATGGTCTAGGGGCTTATAGGGTGCCTTTTTGATCGAGATGATCATGGGGTACTTGCTGTTTGGCCTCATACAAACCCTACAAACTACGCCCTAAAGCGTCTCGGCTCAAGTTTTGCGCTGTTTTAGGGGGTTAACCGGGTTCGAGGCCAAACAGCTTCCTCTTTCAACCGGGCCCCCTTTGGACGCTGGACCCGTAGTTTTCATAGCATGGTCTCTTCGTGCGGTGCCGTGGGGATGCTGTTTTTCGGCCCCCAGATGCTGCTTGTGATGGAGATTACAGGTAGGCTTTGGCTGCATGTTATTTCTGCTTCGCATGATTGGTATTTGCGGCTTACGCATGGCATTTTCTTGAGATTGTGCAACATGGTTTTTCTGCATGGTTCATTGCAACATACAGAGCTGGATGTGGTGTCGGGCGCAGACAATGATGAGCAATTTTGGTATCTGAGTTTCTCTGAGATTTTCTTGATTGCTTTGCTGGAGCTTCTCATTTGGGCTAGCGTGAATCTGAAGCAGTACGTGGCGTCGTATGCCTGGGTTTGTTCGCTCCTGCATCCACTAAAGTCCCAGTCGGGATTGTGGCACTGCGGGCCTGCTGCTGCTGGGGAAGATGTGGTGTACTACGCGATGTGGCACACCCCTGTATGGAGACACAGTGGCAGAGAACCCACGCCTTTTTAATGCTGGTTCTACTGTGGAGTTTTAGCAGTGCGCAAGTTTTTCGCAGAGACCCGCCTTATGGTGCCACTTTGCAGGTCTGCCAGGGCCCGGCCCCTATTTAAGGTGCCAAAAGGACGTTACTTACAAGACTCCAGCATTTTTCGTACTATGGATCCAGTTTTTTCCACTATGTACATTGTGAGCTGTGTCGGTCCCAAGTCCGGCAGTCTGCAATACCAGATTGGCTACAGTACAGCAGGCCCACTACTCGTGATTGAGGAGCTGCAGACAGACGAGAGGGTTGTCACTGATACTAGTGCAGTGACGGAAGCCAATCTCTTATTCTGTGACGAACCTTCAAGATTGGCGAAGATACTGGCAAGGCTATATGTGTATGCAAGCCGGCAACAGCTACACGGTGCAGCAGGTGCGCTGCCGGGGTGCTCATGCCTGAGCCTTTCAGTTTCATATTGTCAGCATGTCCCTTCTTCTGGGCTTCTGTGGTGCTGTGTGCTCCTCCATTTTCTGCAGTTGAGCACCAGTTCTTCCTGGATTCCTGGGATTGGAGATATGCCGAACTGTTTGGTTATAGTCTTATGGTGATTTGGCAATAGTTGGTATATTTTTCTACCTGCACTCTTTGGGCTTGGCGACTGCAAGTTTTCACAGCAATTGGGCGTTCGGAAGCCGTCTGCGGCCCCATATCCCTAACAATCCGGAGGGCCTTACAAGACCAGCGTTCAGCTCATCCTCTGTTCAGGGGCTTTTTGGGTTGGTTTGAGTTTGTGTATGCTCTGACTGTCGGATCTGCAATGAGTATGCGAGAGAAAGTTGCGATCTATTTGAGTCATCTTCGCCCCATTGTGCGTCGTGGTGGCCTGACGCATACAACCCACAAAGCTTGTGAGATGATGATGGGCCCGATGCTTTGGCGATATGGTGTGGAGCAGTCTTAAAGTTAGGGTGCCGATGGACGGCCCTCTGCACCAACATGCTTCTATGAGATGACATCGGCCGTTTGCGGTTGCCAGGCCTTACGGCAACCAGGCCTCTGGATTCCCATTTGCTGCAGAAGTTTCCTTGTGGTGCCGTCTCTCGGCCCTGAGCTAGGGTAGCTGTTGATCTTAATTAGTTGGGTTCCCGCAGTCTGCTCTCCTAGTTAGTAAGTGCAAGAACGCTGGGACTAGCGACTGCGTGCACTTGAGAGCCTGAGGGTACAGTCTTGAACTACGGTTCCTGTGCTTTACTTTGTAGCTGTTGACAGGCCAGCGCTGCCACTGAGCGGCCGCGGTAATATACCGTGTGTAACTGGCTCGCTAGTAGGTCAGACCAGACCACTGCGGTTGAAAGTGCGAAAAAGAACTACGCCCTAAACTGAAAACCCTCAGCCTAGAATCTCCAAGCCCTAAATGTTATAAACCCTAAGCCCTTAGCCATGAATTCTACAGCCTCAAACCCTGAAGCCTAAACCCTGAACCCTAATCCCTAAGCCCTAATCCCATGATCTTAGCCTCAAACTTCAAACATCAAGGCGACCTGCGACCTTATAGCCTGTCACTGCCCAACATCTGAAGAATACACATGGGAATTGGGGTCTATGTTCCTCCCATCCTACACGGGTCGTTAAAAGGCGATGATGCTCTGTAGCCAGTTAGGCTAGCCTCATGCAAGGAGGATGGAACCCCGTATAGCCACCTTTTAGAGGGGCTAGTGTAAAGGGACTCTGCTGGGAACCCTAAATAGGGAACCCCAAGAATATAGTAGGTATATATTAGGAATATACCTACCAGGGTCCTTATATTCCATTATATTCCTGCTATATTCTTGGGGTTCCCAGTAGAGTCCCTTTATAGTGTCCGCGTGGGCGCTTCGGAGAGGTCTTGCTTGCTTGCGGGGGGTGCATGAGCAATGCTTTCGTAAGCTGCCCAAGCTTTGTCTAAAAGAATTGAAAAGTGGACCCCAAATTTGGGGACCCCGAGAATACAGGAGGAATCTAATAGGATTCTATGGACCCTGGTAGATGTATTCCTATCATAGTCCTACTGTACTCATGGGGTTCCCTGTTTTGGGGTCCTTTGAAAAGCTCTGGCCGCGGCTGCTCACTTGCACGTCAGCTGACTTGACCTGCACAGGAGTTCGTGCCAGAAGATAGAGACATCTGCGGCCCTTCCCTCAAGACCTGTAGCCCCCCTTAGTAGATAGAATATGGGGTGTATGGGGATCTTGTTTTAATATACCCAAAGCCACATTCTATCTGCTTTAGAGGGACTCTAAACCCTAAACCCTTGTAAACCGTCATATCCCCCCTATTTCCACTGTTTGGCATTCAAAGTAAACCTGAAGGCGCGTCACACAAAGTTGGGATCCCCTCTGTACCACACTCCATGCTATTGAAGAGGAGTGAAGCAAGGACGTCTCGGCCTTCACTGCCCAGGTTTTAGGCTTACTAGCCCTGTCACAGGGTCCGTTTCCGCATGATTGTGATCGTATGCTGTTTAGGGTTTAGGGTCTAGGCTTTAGGGTTCAGGGGGTAGGGCTAGTAGGGCTAGTCGGGCTTCATAACCTTACTCCCGGGGTTAGAACTGCAATGCCTCACCAACGGGCAAGACAGTGACGTCGGGAACAAATGATGTGGATATGTGAGGGACCCAATTGTAAAGGGATCATTGAGAAGCTGCAAAAAAAACCTAGCATGAGTATTGGATTTTCTTGCACTGACTTCCATTCTTGGTATTGGTGCTGCGATGGAAGAAGAGAGGAGTAGGGTACGTGGCAAAACCTGTTCGTGGCACCCATAAAGCGAACCCCACCTGCTTGAGGGTTTAGCACTTGAGGTTTGGAAGGCCCGCAAAAACAATAAGACTACCTCTACTTCTGCTATTAGTGAAATTATGTTGAGACTAATTATTGCCGCCAATACACGAGACACATACTCATGTCTACCCTCTGACTCAAAACCATGTATGAGAAGAAGCATGGGCGCGCGACTAAGTGGCGCGGCAATTCAAGGTATCGCCGCACACCCTCGATGACCAAATGCTCCTGTCACATGAGCTACAATCAAGATTTCCCATATAATGGCCATGGGTTCCTTTTTTTAGGGAATGTGTTAGGGACTACACTAGTGGGAGCAGTATGTCTGTGAACTTGTCTAAATGGCCTGTGCAGCATGTCACCAAATATTTGAGTAGTGTTTTTTGGTGGTTGAACCTAGTAAGATAATATTCCTTATATAACATACTATGCCCCAAAGAAAGGATATAATCTTATTCTATATTGGGTACCATAATACCCCCCCAAATAAAATGCTACTCATTTGATGCTGAAGAGATGTTTTTTGCGCTTCCGGTGCCCCTTGAACAAGCTATTAAGCTGCCACCAGTGGTTGCCAACACCTTTTTTTGCTTTGGGATTTAGTAACTCGATGGATGGAGAGGGCCCCACAAAATCTTGCAGACAATTCGCCAGCTGGCCAGATTTGGAACCAAGTTTCCCGAAACTTGGTACAATTTAAAACCTTGGCCAAATTTCAAAAACTTGGCCAGCAACTTTCCCGAAACTTGGCCAGAAACTGGCCAAGCCTTGCCCAAATTTCCTAAAGCTTGGCAAATTTCTTTGAAAAAGAATTAAACAGAAACTTTGCCAACCGGCCAGGTTTTCGGCTAAGCTTCCCGAAGCTTAGCCAAATCCCTCTTGAAAGCAAGACCTTACCAGAAACTTTACAGCTGGCCAAGTTTTGGCTAAGTTTCCCGAAGCTCGGCCAAATTCCTTGAAAGCGAAGAGTGTAGCCAGAAGCCTTGCCAACTGAGTTTAGGGTTTAGGGGTTTAGGGTTTAGGGCCAGGGTTTTTGCCACGTCTCCCTAAAATTCCCCCAGTTCTTACCTTAAATGAAAGTTGTCCAGAGAAGAAGCTTGTCACTGGAAAAGTAACGTGGCCAACTTCTTGTTTTGGAATGCGAGAATGCAAATAAAAAAACACTTCTTGGATATGGAATTGGCCTGGAAAGCATTGCTTTTGGCCAGCTTTGGGTGTGCTAAAAGCTTCTTGAAAAATCAGCTTGGCCAAAACCTAGTCAGCATGTTTTTGAGCTGACAATTTCATGGGGGAAGGCAAGTGTCCCGAAACTTGGCCGAATGGAAGAACTTGGCCAGAAATTTGGCCAACTGGCCACGTTTTGGTCAAGTTTCTCCGAAAGTTGGCCAGATCTCTTTGCAAAAAACTTGGAACTTGGCGTGCTGGCCAAGCTTTTTCCGAAACTTGGCCAAGTCAAAAGCAACTTGTCCAAAACCTCGGCCAAGCTGGCCACGCTTCTTGAACCTTGGCCAGATTTCTATGCAAAATCCTGGCCAAAAACTTGGGCCAACTGGTCAAACATTTCTGAAGACAAACCACCTGCCCAAAAACTTGGCAAGCTTCCAGCAATGCCTTTAAACAAGGACCTTAAAAGTTGCTGCGAACTCCCCAGCCGTGCTGGTGCGAGACTTCGCAGTCCTCATACGGAAGTGTGAGAAAGCTGCGTAGAAGTGCATTTTCAACAAGACATGCTTTCAAATCTGGTGCCGAATATGCCCAACACTTCTCATTTTTCCTTCTAACAAGTTGGCGGAAGGCGCTTCTCATGGTCCTGCCACCAACCTCAAGGATCCCTTGGTAAGCCAAATGCTGACAGTAGACCACGTCAAGTTTTGGGCTTGGATTTGCAAGTCCACCACGCCTGTAACTGTAGCTCTTGTACTGCAAGGGGATCTTGTGAAAAAGAATACCTTTCTCAGCTGGGATGGGGGAACCCATAAACATTAGTTCTTACCAGCACAGGCAAGCCCTGAGCCCCGAGCCCTTTCTTTAAACTTTGGCATTGCAATTATTTCTTTTGGTTACTTGGGGGCTGCATAAAGCAGGTGTACCATCTGCAGAAGGCCCTTTCCAAACATCCCCCCCCCACTCCATGGAAAGCATGAGGGGGGCTCTACATTAGAAGGTCCTAACTTACACCCATCACGCCAAAACGCGGCTTTCCTAGAATGGCGAGGAGCCTTTTTCCAAGTTGGAAGCCGCGCATTGTTTCTGATCACTTTCCCTACATGATCCGAGCATATGAAAAGAGAAACAACGCGGAGTCTGAGGACTCAAGCTTGTCTACATGAGCCATATTCTAAACTTCTAGTATCCCCCCTAATCACCCCTATAATATAAGGTTTCGGGTTTAGGGTTCAGGGTTTTTTGGGGGGGTTTAGGGTTTAGGGTCAAAACTCCCACTATCCCTTAGTAACCCTTGTAATACTCCCCTATATATTCCGCTCTATAACCCCCTTCAGGAGTTTAGACTATAGCTCACCTGAAATATGCTCTCATAGAGCTTTGCGGTGTATCTAAGAGATTATGATACCATCCCCCCCAAAGTAGTCCCCCCAAGTTAAGGAGCGAATAAGGACTATATAGGGTTTCATAAGCCGTGATAGGCTTAGGGTTTCGGGGTTTAGGGCCTAAATCTGGGGGTACCCTTTCCCCAGAAAGTATTGTAACCCAAAGTCTTGCAGGCAAACCTGCGAGGACTTGTCGTGCTTGCGCGGAAATCCTAACCTAGCCAGGAAGGGACGCTCGCTCAGCTTGGCAGCTAGGAAGTTAAGTCCCCGGCACCTCCGTAATGATACACATTCTCCCCGTTGTATACTTAATTGGGGTCATTCATTGTGAGGGGGTGGGTGGCGGGGGGTATCTACAGCAAGTAGTTTTCATTACGCGAAGCACTTCTGACTCACCGGAGGGCAGTACCTGCTGGTAACTTGCATGATTTCCTAGGTAGTTCCGCAGTGCCTTGAGGTTTTTGTCCCTGGTCATAAGCCCTAGAGCCCTAAACCCTAGGGATATGAGCCCTTCGCACTCCTCCAGTATTCTATGAAGCCCAGACACAGCCACTCAGGAATTTGCGAAGTCAGAAGAACAACGCACGCTGCCTAACCACAACGACGCGCCTAACATGCAGAATAGACGTCAGCCTTTCTACAAGTAACATGGGGAGAAACGTGAGTAATCATTTGCTTTTCCAGATTGGAAAATTTCCATAACCCTAAACCCTAGCCTTAACCCAGCATGCGCAAAAATAGTCCGTACCAAGAGACATGGCAGATGCGAATCTGAGCCCCAACGCAAAAAAAGATTAAGGGTTTATGGTTTAGCATGTACAAAGGGTTCATCTCGGAAATGGGGGTTGGCTCCGAGCTAGTTTTGGAGCCCGGTACCAGGATCTTGCACGCTTCTTCATCCTATGCTTAGGCTCAGCTGTTGCGTCGCGACCCCAAGTTTGGGGCCTCAACGCTAAACCCTGAGTCCTAAACGCTCCACCCGAACCCTCATCATCAACACCTTGAACCCTGCAACATGGACCAGATCGTGGTCAATGCTTTGGGCAGTGTCTATATTGGGGGACATTTGTAGCTGGGACCCAAAGAGAACCCCACACTCCAAGACCTAACCCCGAATCGCACACGCTAAACCCTAGACCTAAATCCCACGCTCTAAACCCTAAGCCCTAAACCCTAAACCCTCAACCCCATCTCGGCCAAAGCACTCTTCGAGCTTCATCAGTGCGGTTTTCAGATCCCTTGGTGAGCCGGTACCTTGCCCAAGAAATCCAAAGTCTTTGGGGTTTGGGGCTTTATGGGGCTTAGACATTGGGGTTTAGGATCTAAAGGTCAGGGTTCAGAGTTTACGGTTTACACTTTGGTGTTTTGGAGTTGGTTAGGAGTTGAGAGTTTCGGGTTTAGAGTTTAGAGTTTAGGCTTTGGGGTTTAGGGCAGAAAGTTTAGGATTAAGGGCACGGGGCGCAAAAGGGGCCTTTAGTGAGGACTCTTGTATCTTATGGCGGGGGCAATATGGGGACTACACAGGAATACGAAAGCTATCACAAAGGATATATACCTATATATAACCTTAGAAACTGGCACCTTTCTCAAGAGCTTTTCATGCGCGGAGTCACCGGGTGGGTAGTCTTACATAAGGCTTGCGAAATAATTGTATGTGGAGAATGGAAGGCATAAGAAAGCTCTGCAAGGGTTTTGTGGGAAACTACCGCCTGGAAATTCCTAGAACTTTCTGCAGGCTAATTAGTAGGGAACTGCATGAAGGGAGCCCTACAGTGGCTCCTATATGCCCCAGAATAGCCACTAAAACCCATACTCCTGAACTCCCTACTAACCCTGAACTCCATAAACCCTAAACCCCGTAAACCGCTAAAGACCCTAAAACCTAAACCCTAAACCCAAAACCTTAAACCCTAAACCCTAAGCCTAAAGTAGATGCCGGTCCCACAGTCGGCATAAAGCATTTGCTGAGGAATACGAGCTTCGTTTCCGTATAGGAACTTCTCAAAATGGGGGCCCCTACGGGATTCTAGGTGCAGATATGGATCATGAGGAGATAATAGGGGTCCATCTGGGTGCTTTTATACGGCTTCCGTACGATGTGGGAAATAGCCATCTCATCCTTGCGTAATGATCTCTGGTATGCCATGACCGCCAAGCTCCATTTCAAGAGAAACGGCTAGTCTATCACGCCCCAGCCCAGTTTAGCCTAAACCCCAAATCCCTAAACCCTGAACCCAAACCGTGGCGGGTACTCCTTAGAGGTCCAGACACCCTTGATCTGCAAAAGCCCCCATATCAACACCGTCGTGTTATCATGGCCTGAGCAACGACAAATTGCAGGACAAACCTCAGATCCCAATAAGAACAATCGGGGGCATTTCTCATGGCATTCCCTGCATAACCCCGGATAAGGATGCCGTCAATATCTCCGATCGTTTAGGGGTTTAGGGTTTGAACTTCTGCACATACCTGGGATGTTTGAAGCCCCGCCTCATAAACCCTAAACCCTAAACCCCTACAACCCTAAACTCTTAAACCCTAAACCCCTACGTACACCCTAAACCCCAAATCCTAAAACCCTTAACTCCTAAACCCAAAACCCCTACGTACACCCTAAACCCTAAACCCCTAAAAGCCTAAACTCCTAAACCCTAAACCGTTACGCACACCCTAAACCCAAAACCCTAAAACCTTTAACCCTATGCCTGGCGAAAGGTCCTAAGCCTCGAGCAGGACATGTTCATGGACCCAATCCGCCAGTATCCATCACCTGGGAAGCGCTTGAGAAAGCCTCGTAAAGACTGGCCAAAATAGGGTTAGGGGTTTAGGGTGTAGGGTTTAAGGTTTAGGGTTTAAGGCTTCGGGTGATTTATGGTTTAGGGTTTGGGATTTAGGTTTTAGGGTTTAGGCTGATATTATACGCCCACCTGGGACTCCATGTAAACCCCAGTTGCTTTCACCCCTACAAACCACAAACCGCTGAACCCCATAAACCCTGAAACCGCAACCCCAAACCACCCCAGCAGATTCTCTTCCGCTTGGCAAGTGAAGATAACGTGATTTTTCTTACATCGAAGATTCTATCTCTAGAGAGGGGTCTTTTAGGATTCTTGCCTTCGTACGACAGCATCCCGAGATTAAGGGCCCGTACGAGGACCTTAGATCCCTAGACCTTGAATCCTAAACTTGCTGGTTCTCAGTAGGGAATGAGGGAAAATCATCCCTATATAACCACTCCATAACATATGCCCCTATTCTCTACTTACCGCCGCTAAGTAAGAAACATTCTAAACCTTTTGCATGGTCTCAGCCGCTGAACGGAGGTCACTCAAGGACATGCCCCAGGGTAATGCTGCATGAGCCTTCCATACTGAATCCTGAACCCCAAGCTCTATAGGGTTTAGGGCTTAGCGTTCAAAATCCGTTCAACATCCTAAGCCCTAAACCCTTGAACCCTCGAGTTTTGAAGGAGGCTTTGCCGGGTGCACAGAAGCATGCTTAAATGGCTTCTTTATTTCAGGGGTCTAGATAACGAGGAGATTGGAGAATCACATCAAAATCAAGTAGCACGGCCTGGGGTCTACGGGCCTACATACATAGCATAGGGTTGTAGCAAGGATTGCAGTATGCACACAATTCTCAATAATTTGTAGGATTTCAGTCAACATTCAAGCTCCTGAGCTCGTTAGGGGTGTAAGGGAACTCCCCTGAACCCTCAACCCGCGGTTTAGGATTCAGGGCACCCTAAACCCTAAACACTAAAGGTCCAAAACCCCTACACCCTAAGCCCTAAACCCTACACCCTGAGCCCCCGTCCCCCCATGACGCAGAAGCTAAGCCATCGGACCAAGCTTGTAGATTGCGCACATGACGACAACAGCCTGGAGTCTGATCCGCGGCGGTTTAGGGTTTAGGATTTAAGGTTTAGGGCTACGACTTCAACTCTACCTCAAGATCCTGGAGGCAGAGTTGTGCCTCCCGATGTACGGGAGGAGCCTGGAGAAGCTCTACACGCCCATTCTCCATGGGCTCCTCCCATTCTCTTACCCAGTACGGGTGCAAGCTGACGTGCATCTTCAGTCTCTGCCCATCCTAGTAAGGGATGGGAACGGCCCAAGCAGGCTGGGTGAGAATGCCTAAGCCCTAAACCCCTAAACCCAGGGTTGGGGCTTAAGGAACGGGTTCAGGGTTTAGGAGTTGGGCTTCAGGAGGCAATCACCCTCCCCTAGTGAAGAATTCCGCGCGCGCACCCCCGCAATGATGAATACATATGATACCATCGGATAAGTACCTAAACCCCTTATCCTATAAACCCTAAACCCCCCTAAACCCTAAACCCTAACCCCCTAACCCCCTAGATCCATTACATGCTACCTCCAAACCAGGAACCCCGAAGACCTCACTGAGCTCCTTGGGGCGTCCATACTTCGAAATGCAGTGAGCACACAAGTGACCCTGAATCGAAAACCATTAAGGACGCTCAAAACTGCAATCCCCTAGACCTATAACAACAGATACTATTTTGTACAACGCCGTAGGGTTGTACGAAGGCAAAACTGCAAAAACCCTAAACACTAAACCCTAAAGCTTAATAAATAGGAGTAGGAGGCAGGATCCCTGATGTTGAAACGGCCCAGCTTGTTACGGAGCTGCTGTTCAGGAACTCAAATTGAGTAGCGCTTTTTTCGGTGGTTGAGCCTAGTAAGATTATATTCCTTATGCAAAACTCTATACCCCAAGGGGAGGATGGAATCTTACTCTATATTGGGTACCATAGTATCCCCAAATAAGATACTACTCAAATTAAGCTGCCATGAGGAGGAGACGGTCTTGTTTGCCATATACCCAGATTTTGGGTCAATCCCCCACCCAGTAATGGGTACCACAAGGGACTATTGTAGGTATATTAAGGCTCTAATAATTCCTTAGTAAGGAGCCATTACTATAGGGGGGATTGACCTAACCCATATTGTGGCAATCTAGTTGAAGTCACGGAATCCCTAAATAACCCCTGAATTACCCTCGTTGCCTTCCAGCTTCTTCTCCATTAAGGTAACTGAACCCCCCAAACCCTAAACCCCCAAAGCCCCAGACCCTAAACCCTAAACCCTAAACCCCAGACCCTAAACCCTAAACCCTACACACTGAAATTCCTTGATCTGGTAACGCCATGTCCTGGCCTCAAAGGTGAGCTGGGTCCTATGGTCCTGCGTTGCCAGGGGCTCAGGGTGTAGGGTTTAGGGACTTAGGGGTTTAGGGTTTAGGGACTTAGGGGTTCGGGGTTTAGGGTTTAGGGTTTAAGGACTTAGGGACTTAGGGTTTTTTTTGCTAATGCCGGGCGCGCGCGCATAGGCGCCATCTCTGCATGCTCTCTCAAGGATCTTTTGATGGTGATGTAAATTACATTTGGTCCTAGCACACTATTAGCAGAATGGTTTTGCCAAATGTCAGGGAATATGCGTTGCGTTGTGGTCTCTAGCCAGTAGGGTATCTTCCCCCCGACTTAGGGGTTTAGGGGTTTGGGTTTGTGGATTTGGACTGAGGGTACCTGAAACGGAAGCGCATCATATCCCTCACAAGAACAGGAGACAGTAAACATCACTTGGGGCATCACCGAAGTGTCTGGAGCATCCAGGAAGCCATGTGAGCCATAGTCTAAACTCCTAGTATCCCCTCAATAATCCCTCTAATGCTCACCCTTTAAGGTGTTTAGGCCCGTGAAGCCTAAACTCTAAACGCTACATAACCCCGTTTTAGGAGCTTAGACTATAGCTCACTTACCATCGCCATTCAAGGTCTAGACCTTCAATGGCATCCCTCCTCCTTTTGCGCAAGATTTGCGCCGATGTCGCTGTCCACCTGTGTAGGGTTTAGGGGTTGTTTCCTCTCCCTAGGGTTTAGGGTCTAGGGTTTAGGGTGTAGGAGTTGTTTCCCGTTCCAAAAGGTGACTGTGCAACTGTGATGCAATCTGGCTCAGGAAATCTCACTCCCTCCCCCAAAGATACAGTATCTCAGACATGTGTGTTCAAGCTGGGCATTTGCTATGTGGTGAATTAAAGCACCAACAACAAGGTTAGTAGAGCCTAAACCTAACAGATGCAATACTTCGGAGTTTCTACATAATCTAGGGAAAATCTAGAATCTCCGGGAAACCCTCACGCCTCCGGGCGGGATAGAGGCCTTCCGTTTTCAGAACCCCCCCCCACTTTACATCTTCCAAGAGGATTCTATGCGCCGTCCTTTCTTTTAAACTAACACAGAATCCCAATTTCAGTGGAGCCCTTGCAATAATGATAATAGCAGTAATGGAAATTGTACGAAGCAGAATAATAATCGGAAATAGTACCAGTGACAGTAAAAGACTAGGACCGAAAGTGCTCTTTTGGTATTCTAGTTTCAAGCGCGTTTCCTACCATGCAGACGAGATGCCACGCGAAAGCCCAGGTGTTGAAACTTTGCGAGCTCCCTGGAATTTGTGGCCTTGGGCGGGTGGCCGCAGGGTAGATGAAGATGGATGAAGAAAAAACGCAAGTATGCATAGAAGTCATAGGAATTCTGGTTGTAGAGTATACAGAGGGTCATGTGAGCTATAGTCCCCCTTATAAGCCTTATAATACTCCCCCATGTAATCCCCCATATGACCTCCTGTACGGAGTTTAGACTATAGCTCATATCATCTTGATTTTGTACATCAACAAGAGGGTTTGGGTTCAGGGCTTGCCACTTTTGGGGGTGAAGCAGGATGCCTGTAAACTCTTTTATCCAACAATCCCCCCATGCCCTGAAAGAAGTCTCAGAGCCCAGAGTGTAGGGTTTAGGATTGAGTTCAGGGTTTAGAGTTAGGGTTTGAGGGTTTAGGGTTTTAGGGTTTAGGGTCGGGTATGGGTCCCCCCAATGCGTGAACTGTGGATTCCTTCTTTCATGGGCGCTATCTGCATGAAACGGATCCTCAGGGACCTGACGATGGCGTATGCTGCAAGAAAAGCTAATCAGAGTCCCCTCCCCCTAAGATGGCGGAAGAAGTAGTTGTGTTTTTTTGCAACGCGCCTCTTTTAACCTCAGCACGAAATCAAAGGCCTTTCGGCAGGCGTAAGTCCATTCCCCATTTAGGGTTTAGGGTTTAGGGTAGCGTAGCGCACTCTTAGGGTTTTAGGTTTTAGGGCTTGTTTCCATCTTCTACTAGTTTGTCGGCCCCTACGGTTCTCTCACGGAGTGGGCTTCTCGAAGCGATCTGCCTTGCGTGCAAGTGCCTCCAGTCAAGCGACCAAACCTCTCTCAAGCAGAGAACCCGAACCTTGAAAGTTGAGCCCCAAACCCCAGTTTAAGGTTTAGGGCTCAGGGTTTAGGATTTAGGGGAAACACTTCCTAAAAGGGAGATCTAAACAAAAAAGGGACCTGCCTCATGGTCATTTGGGGGACTTCAATAACCACCAAGTTGAAACCCCCCAAAGCATCAAACTGAGCCTGAAGCCCTGAATCCCAAGTTCTAAACCATGAAGCCCTAAATGCTCTAAACCCCAAACCCTAAGCCCTAAACCCCAAACCCTAAACCCATGAGCCCCATCCCCTACAAGCAAAACTCGAGAAACGGGGCTGAGGCAGCCAGGATGAAGAAGAGGTCCGTAACCCGTTCTGGTAAGAGATCCAGGCGAACCTCTGAGAATGGGGGGGGGGTTTAGGGTTTAGGTTGTAGGTGTTAGGGGTTTAAGGCTCAGCAAATGCTGCTGGGACTCGCAGAAAATGAAAGCATGTAGAAATTATTCAGCTGGTCCCCGTCTCGTGTACCCCGACACAACAGTATGATTCCCAAAAGCAAGAAAGTGACAGCCGTAGCTTTCTACCTGCTCACATGAGCTATAGTCTAAAGTCATGAAAGGGGATTATATGGGGGGGACTATCATAGCAATAATTCAGGGGGATGCTAGAATCTAGACATGTCAACTATCACTCCTCCAGGTCTCAAAAATGTGTGGCGCGGATCTTAAGCGATTCTGGGTTGCAGCGAAGGAGGTGAAAACGTTACCGTATGATAGGTACATAGTAAACAAGAAGATTTCCTTATAATGGCAACTTTATTTAAGTTCCTTAACAGCAACTCAGTACTTCAATCCCATGGTATTGAAGTATTGTAATTTTGCACCCCACCACTTCAATGAAGTGTAGACCCACAAGGCATAATTTAACGGTAGTAAGTACAGCCCTACACTATTCCCACATTCTTCTATCCTGAGCAGGCTAATGAGTTGATGTCTCGAGTAGGGGTACCCGTGGAAAGCCTGGAATGGTGTTTAGGGTTTAGAGGTTTAGGGTTTAGGTGTTTAGGGATAGGTAGGGGTAGAAAAACGAGCCAGAACCTAACCCTAAACCCTAAACCCAAAGATAAAAGCATTTTTGAGAATCGTCCATGAGACCAAGCTTCCCAAAAGCCGCAGCTACACTCCTGGGAACTAACATGGAAACCAAAAAAGGGCCCTATAAAGACTACAGTCCCTCTAAAATGGGGCTATATGGATTTCCATGTTAGTTTGGGAGAGTGTAATCTAACCATGCTGGAATCGGAACTGGAATTCCGTTTCTTCCCGCAATGTCACTTTGCCACTTGTACTCAGATGCTCGTCAGCAGCCTAAATCCTAAACCCAAAAGCGTAAACCCCCATCTCCCTCCAGACTTTTCCCGCATGGTCCCCCCCAAAATTCATCATGAACCCTTTTTTTTGCGGCAGCAACCCTAAACCCTCAACCCAGGGTCTAGGATTTAGGGGTTTATTGGGGTTTAAGATTTAGGGTTTAGGGTTCAGGGTTTTGGTATGTCCCAGCCTGTAGGAGCTGTTTGCAGAGCATCTGGCCATCCAGGGTTGACCTTGGAAAAGAACTTGCAGCTATCATCTGAGCTGTAGTCTAAACTCCTAGTATCCCCCTTAATAAGCCCTATAGTAGTCCCCTATATGATCCCCTATATAACCCCCTTTAAGGAGTTTAGCCTATAGCTCATCTGAGCTACAGACAATAATATGTCCTACACAATTTTTAATGGTGTAGATATATAGAGTTTAGATTTGTGCGAAGATTTCCTATACGATTCAATGGACATGGGTTTCTTATTAGGGACTATACTGGGGACTATACTCAACTACAAGAGGAACCCATGTGTCCAACCTTTCTGGTCCCTTAATGAGGCTAATGTCGACAGTGGCTCATCTAAAGAACTGCTGCCAGAGTTGCACTAATGTCGAAAAGTATTGGGCAAGGCTGCCAGCATTGGGTACTGAGGCTTCTGGGATACGACGAACTGCCAAAGCTTGATGTTTGACGGATCAGACTGAAAGAGGGATGCCTTATTAAGGGAAGAAGACGCCACGCAAGGATGGAGAAGGAATGCAATTCAGTTGATCCCGTGCTGGGGGATTTCTAAGTGTCAAATCCCCATCGAAGCTGACACCTGGAGTGCCCCAATCCCAAAGCTTTCGATGTGTTGAGCCTTGGACCAAAGTCGTAGTATATATTCAAATAGACCCCCTCGACCCCCTATACATCCTCCTACAGGTCCTCCCTCAACCTAACTTTACTGGGTTGCTGTTAAGGAACTCAACTTAAGTTACTATGTATATGGGGGAACCCTATTATTTGCCATATATACCCATTGTGGTGACTGAATTTATGTTCCTCAACAGCAACCCAGTTTAGTCCGCAGCCCGGTTTGAGCACGAGGCTGCAAGTCCATACCTTTCTGCCGCTCCGTCCCCAGGTGGCTGATGGCCCCAAAGAGGGAGTCGACCCCCTGGGTTTTCGGCTTCAGGTTAATATAAGCCATAGTCTAAACTCCTAGTATCCCCCTTAATAACCCTTATACTACTACCCTATATAATCACACCTTTAAGGATTCTAGACTGTAGTACATATAGCATATTCTCGAATTTCGCTTTATGGCTCAGGGTTCTGGACTCGGAGTTTAGGATTCAGGTTCTCAGCGTCATGCTTGGACACCTTTTGGCGGACCTTTAGGCCTTGAAGGAAACTAAAGAAGACTCCATTCTAGCCTTCTGTCCTATGTTATAGGGTCCTTCTTCTAGGGGTTGGGGCGGCTAAAGCCCCCCTTTTAACCAAAGTAGTTCTCCGAAATGTTAGCGCGACATAGCAGATTTGAGTTGGATTGGCCATTAAACCCGAAACCCTGAACCCAAGATTCTTCTCAAGTTAGTACACTAAACTTCTGGTTTCCCCTACCCCCCTGCACGACGCTCCTAGGTTCCCGTAAGTGGCCTCCACTAGCCATAGCCAGACTTATCCCTAAATAAACCTAAATAGGGAGGAACCTACAGGGGTAGTATGCGGGGAGTAAGCCACAAAAGCCTAAGACCTTAACCCACAACCCGAAAACACAATTCTGGTGACAACAGCCAAAATCACGCCACGCCCTAATCCTACAGCCCACAAGCCCCACACCTAAACCCTGACAAATCTAGAGCCTGCAAATTCCAAAGCTCTCCAAACTACCAGGATTTAGGGTTCAGGAAGTTAAGGGTTTAGGATATCAGGCCTTCGTCTGCACTCGGTATGCAGTCTGGTCCACGCCATAGGCTGCACCGTGGAAACCTAGCTGTTGCCAGGCACCATACTGCCCCCCTCACTCAAGGTTTAGGGCTTCCAAAATGGGGGTCCCTTGTGGGGATCTCTGTGATTTTGGATCTAGGGTTTTGGAGTTAGGGCTTCGGGTTGCCATAATCATAAGGCAATTTTCCGGCTCCTTTTGAAAAGCTGAAGCGATACTAACTCATCAGAGGGATGCTCTCTGCTTCAGCGAATGCCTAAACACTGATCCCTAATCCCCAATTAAACCTTGTTTCCTGGCATGAGCCCTGGTTCCACCTATCTAGGGAAAAATTGTACCAGGATTGTCAGGACACAGTATTGGTAATTCGCGATTCAGGCTTCTACAGCGCACATACACATTGCATGTATGGGTGCAGATATGGGCAGGACAGCATGTTGCCCTGCTTATGATATGACCGGCTGTATATGCTGCAATGCTGCAAAAGATGCCGCCTACGTTATCTCCATCCGTTGACAGAATCACCAAATCATCTTTACGTAGTGCTGAAATCGCTACACATGGGGTCTCTCAACTGTGAAAGCGCCACAGAACAGTCCAAGCCCTGAATGCTACACGTGTAAATACACAAGCACGACTTTTGTGCATTATTCTTCTGTAGATGTAGATTACCTGAACCCTAAACCCTAAATTCACAGCAGCGCCTACCATCATAATCATTGCGCTGCTACCAGCAGATTATGGTAGTGGTACATGGAAAGAGCCGCCACGACCATTGTCAACATCTACCTTCACTAAACACACATAGAATCACACCATGGCCTTTGTTAGAGGAGCCCATGCAGGCCCTGTTGTCTCGGGAGAGAGGCCAAGATCGAAAAATGGCTGGACTTCAGGCAACACTGCTGGTTACATCCTTAACAAAGCTATCCTAGAGAGCCAAAACTGGCCCTGCTTCGGACACGAGCGCGGAAATCATCCTCATTACTGTCACCATGCCCAAGAGCACGTAGCTAGACTTCAGAAGAGGCCTGATGTCTGCACGCGGTATCATACACCAGCAATCTACAACATTCGAACACAGCATTTGAAGCACCTATGCGCGATGAATTACATATTATCTTGCTCTGTATGGGTGGTTGTCAAAATTATGATCCTTTTTTTGGATCCCTATCATAATACGGCACCTAATACTTAGGGTACCCGAAAAGGGACCATAATTTTGACAACCACCGGTATGGCGAAACAGGCCGTAGTTCCATCAGGCTAAGGACTCGCAGAGCTAAATTTTGCGAAGCTCACATTTGTCAGCATCGCTCCCCTGTCAACTTTTTTCGCTGAACCTCTCCGGGGAAAATTAAAGTCATGATTTTCTGCTAGACTACGTGAGGGGTTACAATAGTACCTCCCCAAAAGGGTTTAATGGAGATAATCAGGACTTTTTAGGTCTTAGTGAAACCCAATAATCATGGTCTACATCTTTTGGGAGGGGTACTATTGTAATTCCCCTACTATGCACTTCCCTCGAAACGGCACCGTGTCAGAGTAGATTGCCTCGTGCGTTCACGATCTCGACCAGGCCTTCTCCACTCATGGCCTGCGTCTCAAAGGAGAGTTTCTCAACAGCTAGGATTTAGGGGCTGAGGGGTTTAGGGCTTTTTGGGGTTTAGGGTTTAGGGCTTTTGGGGCCTTTCGGGGTTAGGGTTTAGGGCTTTTTGGGGTTGAGGGCTTTTTGGGGTTTAGGGCTTTTTGGAGGTTCCTGTAATAATGACCATACATTGGGGGGTTCCCCCATGCATGGAAACCACCAAATACAGTTTGAAAATTCTCGGTCCTTTTGGACGTTGGCAAAATGAAAGGGACCCCTTGTAAGAGGCTTAGAAGCACTTCATCGGTCCTCTTGGATGTTGGCAAATGAACGGGACCTCTTGCAAAAGGCTTTCAAGCACTACATGAACCTTTAATCCAAACTCCGAGTATCCCCCGGAACAACCCCTACAGTTAGTTTAGGGTCTAAACTCCTAGTATCCCCCTGAATATCCCCTGTAATACTCCCCTATATATCCCCTACATGACCGCCCCTTCAGGAATTTGAGACTATAGCTCACATAGGCATTGAGACTTCTTGGGAAGGATTGAGCCCAGTTGACCATGGCCCTCTGAACAGAATGCCTAGCATCATGTCTGTTACTGGCTTTTGAAGCCTGATAACCATCCGCAGTGGGAGTGTTATTAAGCCCGTAACTGACACTGGTCCGTAAGCACTTCCTTCATGCACAATGGCACTTTGTAGCAAGCTGCGTGGGCAAGTGCTTTCAGAAGTTGAATTCACATGCATCCGCATCTCCCTACCCCGAAGCCCGGCAGAGGGTTTGAGAATTAGGGTGAGGAGCCATTCTGTTTCCACGGTCCGACCCTTCGTCAGATTCTGTATCTTGCAGGCACAATGCGTGATGGCTTTGAGTCGGCTGTCATGACACAGACTTTTTTGAAATACCCTAGACCTTAAACCAGAAACTCCATACCCCGAAACCCCAAGATTCTCAGCTGAGCTCTAGTCTAAACTCCTATTATCACCCATGATAAGCCCTATAATACTCTCCGACAGAATCCCTACATAACCCCCCCTTTCAAGGGGAATTTAGACTATAGACTATAGTACGGCTGATCTGCAGATTGCAGGTGCCAGTTAATCAACCTGGCCCTCTACACACACGTAACAATAAACAAGCCTGAGCCCTAAACCCTAGACCCTAGACCCTAAACTCTAGACCCTAGGCCCTAGACCCTAAACCCTCAACGCTTCCTGTTTGGGGAATGTTCTGGGCCGGCCTCTCCCCTCGACCTGCCGCCCTTAAATACATGATGACCTGACGGGTCTTAGTAGGGAATAAGAGAATACAATCCCTATATAATCCCTCTATAGAATCTTCCGATATTCCCTACCAAGAACATGAACAGGATAACAAAACCCTAAACCCTTATAGTCCCCCTGAAGTAGATATGGCTTTGGGTATATTATAATAAGATCCCCATATACCCCATATTCGATCTACTCAAGGCGGATTACAAGCCTAAACCCTAATGCTTCGGGGGCCGCACGATGCATGTAGCGTCCATAGTCTCACTGTAGCTGGCTGGTTGAGTCCAACACCTGCTATGACACGCTTTCGGGTTTAGGGTCTAGGGTTTAGGGTTTAATTAGGGTCTAGGGTTTAGGGGTTTAGGGTTGAGGGGTTTGAAAACCAAACCCAAAACCCTAAACCCCAAACCCTAAAGAGTTTAGGGGTTTAGGGTCTAGGGTTTGTGGGTTTGGGATTTGGGGCCAGCCATGCATTTTCTATACCAAGACTGAAGCCGGTTTTGGAAGTGAGGGGCTTAGGCCTTCCCCCAAGCCCCTAAACCCTAAATTTGATAGGGTTTAGGGTTTAGCATCTCAAATACCCATAGCGACAGCCCTGAACCCCTGAGATGATTGGGCATATGGGCTCTTCTTAAAACCCTAAACCCCAAGCCCTAGAGCCCAACCCTAGACCCCAAACCATGGGCCCCTGGCAGCTCGACGGTCATACGCCGGAGGACTCGCCCTCGCACATCCTGCAGACCTGAAAAACTTTTCGGGGGGGTTTAGGGTTTTGGGTATGGGGCTTAGCCCTAAACCCATAACTAGGCCTAGGGCCTAGGGTTCACGGTTTGGTGTTTAGGGCTGGCTTTGGGGACCCCCAGGCAGAGATGGGAACTGCGCGGAGATGATTATCTGGCATCTATCAAAAAGATTAGAGTAAACCCTGCGGACATGTATTTCAAGAGTTCTGCCGTGGCAACTATAAGAACCACTCACATTGAAGCTTCTCATAGCTTCAGGGTTTCAGGGGGTCCGCGGGAAGATGATGAGACTCCAGGATTCCCGCGCGGGAAGATGCTGTATAGGGGCTACTTTGAGAACTTCTTTAGGGTTTAGGCTTTAGGGTCTGCACTAAGTAGAATCCGATACGCTCCCTCGATATCCTTGGAACATCCAGCAGGTCCCTTTCAAAGTTTCATGTTTTGTCGGGGGAACTCTGGCCGCGATGGATAGTCAATCGAGTTGGGGGCTTCAGGTCTTCAATATCTATATCCAGGCTTCCCCAGCCAGTTGTCATCAAATCAGTTGTCCGGGATGTGAACGCTGGGGCTGGATCCTTGGGGGCCTGAAGGACTTTGTGGTTTGAGGCTATCTTGCTCCTCAAGAAGTTCTTTCAGGGTTTGAAAGGTTTCGGGGTTTAGTTTCAGGTCTAAACCTTGGGCTTTAGGGCCTTATAAACCCTAAAAGAGGATTCCGGAGAGCGGAACCTACTAAAAGATCGTCCTACCCTAAACCCTATATCCTAGCCTGCAAGCACAAAGATCCTGGGAGGTTTCAGAGCGAGAGAGCCCCCCTAGAAATCGTTCAAGGAGGGCAGGCCTTTGAGGATTGGGATTTAGGATGTCACCGGCCCGCAGAATCCCACTACAAAATCCAAAAAACTGGAGGCCCGTATAGTTTGAGGTTTGGAGGATTTTCCAGTACAGTAGAGTGTTGTAAGTTGGGCTCCGCGTTCTAACAATCGGCAATCCCGCTAGAGGGCCCTTATCCTCGACAGCCACGACATCAGCTCCCATGTTTCCATGATACGGTGTCCTGCAAAGGGTGCAGGCTCACTCACTATGGACATCCGTCATATTCCTGTGGAGGACAGCTACTCGGATGGGCCTTGGAGTGTAAGAGAGCTTTTTCTCAGCGCAAGCTCATTGCTCGCAGGTATCAGGGGGAAGCGCCGATGCGGCGCAGATTGCAGCTGCCTCCAGGGCCGGTTTAGGGCTTACTGGGTTGCTGTTAAGAAACTTAAGTCAAGTTACAGTAATGGGTATATATAATATAATGGGTCTAGGACCCTAGGACCCCAGGGCCTGGGTTCAAGGCCTTTTAGGGGATCCCATGGTTCTACCAGTAGAGGTCCTTTCCGGATGCCTTTAAGGTTTACGTGGGTATCTCGCGAAATAGCTTGGGGACCCATCTGATACATGCGAGATATATAGCCGCAAATCGTACCTAGGCTCATACTTATTGTGTGGTAGGGTGGGGTCGGGCCAGCAAAGCTACAACAAGCCAAGCTATGCGATCTTCACATTGAAGCGAGAATGCTTGGTTGTGGTCTCCCTGGGTTAACACCCTATATGGACACTCCCCAATATGGAGGAATCGTCCAGTCTACACCCACAAAAAACCATGACCCACACCCTTTCTTCTGCCTCTTTTGGGAACGAACATCTCAGCCTCTGATTCTTGCTTAGTTGCGTGAGGCTCACATGGAATAAACAACAATGCGAAAGGTCAACTTTTTAGATCACTCGAATTCCCTAAATACCCCAAGGATCTTGCGAAGGCTTCCAAAATCAAAATGCTAAAGCCTAAATCTTACACCCCTAGATTCGATCATATAAGCCCTACATCAGGAATTCCTGGTTTAAGGCTTAGGTCCAAAACCCCTAGGATCCCTTTCTTAATCATCCCGCATTTCTCTGGCTAATCTTGAGCAATCCGTAACCTGAAGTAAGAGAATTTGTGTGACCATCTTGCTTTGAAACCACCCTTTGGTGATGATCTGCCCAGATGAATCCCCGCAATAAGGCCTTTCCGCTATGTATGTACGGGGGGGACATTCATTATCGCAGTATCAGGTGGATTTGGAGGGTTGTTATTGGAAACCGCCGGAAGAGTCAGCTTTCAGGGTTCGTCTGGTGGTTTGTAGGGACTGACGGAATGAATCCGTGTAGTAGTCCCTGTTTGGGGCATGCCGAAAACAAGGAGCCCCCGCGTCGGAGTCCTTATATCAAGGAATCTATGTACTGGGGCCGCCTACTTGTGGAAACGACAACATAATGCCTTACAACAGCCCCTATGAACCCGCAATATGTGAGCTACTGTCTAAACTCCTAGTATCCCCCTTAATAAGCCCTACAATATACCCCTATGTAATCCCCTATATAACCCCCTTTCAGGAGTTTAGACTATGGTTCATCTGGCCATGGCCATCATCTCGCAAGAATTTCAGAACTTGAGCTTCGGCCGCCTTGGGATGATTCTCCCACAAGCACCATTCACGGTGAGGTCGGATCGGGCCGCTCGGATTTGCGCAGCTTGCGCGTTGCTTGGTGGTTCCCCCACAACCCTAAACCCCTAAACCCTCCAACCCTCTAAATCCGAAACCCGTAAATTAAACCCTTAAACCCTCCAACCCTCTAAATCCGAAACCCTTAAACCCTTAAACCCTCAACCCTCCAACCCTCTAAATCCTAAACCCTGAACCCTAAGCCCCTTTAGCCTCGCAATCTGTTCCTGGGTGGTACGGCTGATGGGCCAAAGGCCCGGCTGGCCACCTGCTCCAGGTGCTTTCAATTGTTGATAGGATTTAGGGTTTTAGGGTTTTAGGGTTTTAGGGTTTAGGGTTTAGGGTTTAGGATTTAGGGATTTAGGATTTGGGGATTTAGGGTTTAGGGTTTGAGGTTAAGGGTTTAGGGTTTGGGGCGTAGGGTCTGGGGATGCGCTGGGTACTGCCCACACCCAGTAACAGT